AGAACAATTTATTTATTATGGAGTAAACAGGATCAAGACTACAAAGGAAAATAGAGGAATAGTAGGGTCTTTTATTTAGACTTGTCTCCTCCTTGCCTTGAACAATTATACTTTTTGTGTTTGTTTTAAAGTACATTATTTTAACATTTTAAAACTAAAAGCTACTATTTTCCAAATGTTTTTCTATCTTATGAATTCAGAAGAAGCTTGGAAGTTATCATGTTGTTTTTTGTTGGAGAATAACATTTTCATTTCTAAATGTTTTATAATCTCTCCTATCAATGTCAGAAGTATCCTGGAAACATATGTCACATGCAGGAACTGTTTAACAAATACTTAAAAAATTTGGCTAAATTTTAAACTGTATAATGGAGCTAGATACAAGCAAGAATAGTATTTGAAAGACTTTTCCAGAGTATTTCTCAATTCTCGGATTTATTTTTGTTCCCATTATTTACCTTATCATACAGCTTCATGGAAGGTTGAGTACATTCTCCCCTTTCCATTTCGGAATTCTTTTCTTTCTTTACTGAAATGAATCCAGAGAGTATTTCAGAATGAGGAGAGCTTGTATTGTTTAGCATTTTATGGGAGGGAGTTCATTTTATTTGAATTCATTGCTGTTACTAAGTGATAATTGTCCTAACATTCAGCTATCCACACAAGACTGTTTCCAACATAAAAATCATAATAGAAATAATTCGATATCACAACCCATATTTACTTTCTTCTGCTCTTAATTTTTTTCCATGGGTTTAATAAGACTTACCAGATGAAAGGATATTTATATAGCCCTTTTATACCAAAGTCATACTTAGATGTTATCACTGTAAATCATAAAAAAGAAATTAAATATTTCCTTACTCTTAGTTGCTGTGTAGCTAAGCCAATTTTAAGCCAGCTAAAAGCAATGAATACATAATTATTTTATCTGATCCTCACCATTGTGAATTATAGCTACACCAAAACTTCTTATAACAATGTTAAATAACATGCCACATTAATCCGGCTAGATTATTAAGACAAGACAATGTAAAACTGATGACTGTTTAGTGCTAAATTTTAGCAATATGAACTAGAATTTTGGTTTGTTAACCAGTTCCCATAACCAATGTGTAAACACAAGAGGTTAAAAGTTATAGATCCATGGATGATTTAATGTTACAGATTATTTAGTTGGGGGGGAGGGGAGGGGGTGGAGAGGGGAATGGACCCTCGATATATTTATCAGGGAAAGGGTTACCAGAAGTGTTCATTAATGGAATATTAGCCATCATCTAGTTCAAACCTCAACTAGTACAGGAGAAAACCAGGGCAAGAGAGGATATGTTTGTGAAGGAGTTGGGGCTAAAACCTGGATCTCTAGACAGCTGGCCCAGCAGCTTATCCTTAACACACCTCTGGGTTTCGAGAAGCCATGCTTCTTTACCATTGCCATGCTGAGGTAACAATAGCAGAACCATCCCCCACCCCAGTTTTTTTTCCTGAACTTATGTGATATTTTGACCATTAAACATCTCACCCATCTTCCCAACTACTGCACACTGGTATGCTACTTACTACAGACTCAAAATAAATTCTGTTATTTATTGTATGTTTATTATATTTTAATCTGATATAAATGGCATGGATTTATTTTTGCTTACCTATTTGGATTAAGGTTTTGTGATACATGAGAATAATATGCAGATGATAGAATCCCCATATGACTAATAAAAATATAATAGGCATTCATTTTGCTGGCACCGGGAATCTTCATGGGAACATGTCTCATGTTCCCCAGTAAATTATAACTATCTTGAGAGCTGGGACCTCTCTTTTGCACACACCTTCATATCCCCACAGTGTCTATGACAGATTTGGGCACAAACGATGGACTGATTTGGTGGTGGGTGGTGGGGAGGAAGACCTCTGTGAAGAGGCAAGGAGAAGAATGCAAAGAATACATCCATATATGTTCATGTATAGTCACATGTGTGACTACACACACAGACTTTGAGGCTGCCCTTAAGTAACAAGACATCTCTTGACTAATTCATAAAGGGGCATGTTGTATAAATTCTAATGGCAGTTCAGCTGCCCATTACTGAGACAGATGATGGGACATGATAGAGTAGTTCATTCATGAATGAAAAAAAAGTATCATGGATGTTGTAAATTTTTAGGAACAGAGGTATTTTCTTATATAACTTTCCCTGAATTTTGCTGCCTTTAAAAAGTCATCTAGTAAGACTTCTCTCTAGTTGTGCTTTTAGACATTTCTCAGAACTCAGTCTTCACAGCAAACAACACTTTCATTAGGATCTGTATTAGTACCAGTAAGTCAGATCTTATCCTAACTTGGAATGTCCAGCAAGGAAAGAGGAAGCCTGAATGTTTGTTCTGATTTTACCACACCTGAGATTAACACTTGATCTTAATGTGTAACTTGCATTATATCCTCTAAAGAGGGATTTTGCAGAATTAATGATACAAATCAGAGAATATATCTGAAAGTGAACATACTCCATAACAATTCAAGGCCTTATTTATCTTTCTTTTTCTTTTATCACTCTGTTGCTAGTTTGAACAGTTGCATCTGTTTTGCTTTTGGGTTTTGCAGTTGCTTGTAAGCCCACATTTGTAACTCTTACTTTCTTAAAGATGTAGAAATATTTTTTTCACAGTAATATTTCCTGTTTTTAAACTTTTGTCCAGATGTCTTGCTTAAGTCTCGTGGTAGGAAAAGGGGAGAGATGGGGGGCTCAGCTGGACGTTGGTTCTGGCAGGATCTTCTTTGTTGGCTGGTATTTCTGAAAAGCAGCTTATTTTCCCTCTTTGCTATAGAAACAAAAAATTTAAAAAACTCAAACTCCTAACTCTGTTTTATTAGCAAGCTTATGTAACTCCAAACTTCACACATAGCTTCACGTGATATTTTCAGAGCCTTCTGACCCAACATAAATGTACATTCACTTGTGGTATGCAATATACAATCCAATCAGATATGGTGTAGATATTTCACAGGGTTATAGGAAATTAGAACCAAAGGGCCCTTGAGACCTTCTGGCCTATCTTGCCCCCTTCCATTGCCCTTTGTCCCATCCAAATGTTAGCAGCTAGGGACTGCTCCCAGTGGGTTGTGTTAGCCATTGTCACCCATGGGTACACTATTTGTCCTGATTTGCCTGGGACTTTCTTGGTTTTAGCACCGAAAGTACCCTGTCCTGGGAAATCTCTCAAGTCTCAGGGGAACAGTGGTGGTTGGTCACCTTAGTGTCAGGTCAGGCCCCAGAATCCTGATTTCTAGACTTTTGGTTCAATACATTTTGGACATACTTCTGTTTTATTTTGTAACATCAGAAAGCGTGAAGGATTTCTTTTTAAAATATCTTCTTTGGGGCTTTGGAGCTCCTTTTATGGGTCAAATAAAAAACAGATGTTGCTCTTGCTATGCTGATGAAGAGCAGTGATTGCAGTGGGGTTGGGGGTGACTTGATAATATGGGTGAATGCTGAAACCACAATGTTGCTCCTATGAAACCTTCATAAGATTGTATATCAATGATACCTTAATTAAAAAAAAAAAGCAGATGTTGCTTTTGGACACCCTAGATGCCAGGAAGGAGGGCTTCAAACCACTGTGTAGGGAACTCAGATTTTCAATAGAGTTCTTAAATTGTAGAACAGTTGTATACCTATTCATGTATATACAAGTAAGTGCAATTATTTGTTACCATGATAATAATTAAAATGATAGATATCAGTGCATTATATGGAAGGTAAAGGCTGAGAACTGTCATAGCTGAATAGGAAGGAACATTAATAGAATGTTCTGGAAAAGTTACATTTGGTCAGGGAAGGTTGCATAGACTTCTTTGTTTATTTAGCATGTTTGTAAAATGTGTTTTGCTTCCTGCCTTTCCAGACCTATCTGTGCTCAGAGGACTGCCCCTGAAAGTAAATTAGTGACTTGCTGGCTCATGTGTGGAACTTTCCAGAGACTTGTGAAATGTTATTTGCAAGTGTGACTATATTGTCCTCTTATGTGATTAATGTTTATTTTTTCTTTTATCAATTCCCCACTTATACCTAAACTTTCAGATTTTTCCAGTTCTACCAAACATCCTCAATAAGCACTTAAACTTTTGACCATTAGTGTGAGCTCTGTTGTCAGCTTATTATTTATAAGTAGGTTTGATGAGATCCTTTCATTGATTCTTAAAAATAACACTATACCAAGTGTAGTGAAAACGTAAATGACATTTAGTGGATCAAAGCTAAAGGGAATAAATACTATTTGGATTTCACCTACCAGGACTAAGTAATGCTTTGTCATTTAGATCTGAAATAGTGATCTTGCTGTATTTACACCATATTACATTACATTACAACTAAAACTAAAATTTCCCATAGTTTTGCATTAGGTAGCTTCCCCTGCCCTGCCCAGACTCAAATTATTTCCTTTGTTGTGAATAATTCTATAATTCTGTTCGGACAGAGTAGAAGCCATTCGTAGTGTGTATTGTTATAAAGTGTTCTTGTTTTTTTTTTTAAGAAAGGGAGCATAAGTAATGACAGGTGTTTTTTGCTGTATTAATATGGCACAGTTGTTCAACTTCTATATTGCTTTCTAACTTTATGTTACAAACTTGATCATGCGGCTCTGATGGAATTCCATGCCTTCCTTCTCTAAATGCAGAGGGCTGGAGAATTCCACTTCCATAATAGAAAGCAGTATTTGAGTTATAAATCCTGAACTCTGATACGAGGTGTGTGTGTGTGTGTGTGTGTGTGTGTGTGTGTGTGTGTGTNTAGATGGATGCAAGAGTGAATAAGTGATAAGCAACATATTTAAATATTAATGTATTTGTTCCACATTTGAAATTTTTTTTATAATAAAATGCTCATGGACAAAGATAAGAAGATAGCACCCAGAGAGAGAGACTGATCTTTACCTCACACTGCATAGTTAACGGCCTCTCACATCTTGTCGTAGCCTTTCTTGCCAGGTGGGAGGGCATGGGGATAGAACTGGCTAGCACCAAAAGCATTTGCTTTCCCTTGGAGCCTGTTTGTAAACCTCTGAGTCATCCATCCCAAGATGTGTCTCCTGTAATGAGGGATCGGTCAGAGTAATTCTGGTGGCTGATGATTGCCCCCAATTGTTGAGGTCCTCCACTATCTACAAAAAGGAATATGTTTTACATCATAACTTAGTATACAATTACATATAATTCAAAATTTTCATGAAACTATACTTTGATACACTCTGATATTTTGTATTCAATTTCCAAAAAATATGTCAGGTTTGATCCATTAATGGGTTAAGAACTGACAGTTTGAAAAATGCTGCTCTAACATATAAATCATACAGACCAAAAGATTGACATATATTATTTAGTACTAACAGTGATAAATCGAGAAATGTCATAAAAATCATTAGCATTTTCAAATATTCCTTAGAGCTTCAGATCCTTAACAAACTGAGTTTTATTATGGGTGCCACTGCAGTTTCTAAGTTGTGTGACCTTGGGAAAGGTGTTTAACTTTTCAGCCTCAGTTTTATCATCTGTAAAATGGAGATATTAGGGGAAATACATACTTCATAGAGTTCTTGAAAATGGTTTAATGAGATGATATCTGTAAAGTGCTTAGCACAGTGACCAACTGAAAGGTCTCAGAATAGTGGTAACATTTTTTTTCAGCCACGAATTCGTGAACTTTCAGACATTTAGGCCTCAAAAGAAACCAGAATGGGCTTCAAAGGAATATGGTGTCCCTCAGATTCTTCTGCAGTTCTTTTTTCCTGTTTGTTTTTTATAGAAATACCCAATTGTTGGCTCTAGCACTCAGTAAAGTCAGTACTGAGATTGCCAGCAGTTGGTGGTGGTATTGGCAAGGGTGCCTCTGGCTACACAGGGATTTCTGGCAGACTTGGTGGTGTTTGTTGTTGAAGACTGCCTTGGCATAATCCTAGGTGAAAGAAGGATGCCTGGGGTTCCTCACTGATTCATCCCTTTAGTGTGGAATTTTGGATAAACTGTATCTGACTGGGGGTGGACAGGGAGAGCCCAGAGGACCTCATTACAGACAAGCTTGCCTCTTTGAGATTCCCTTGCTGAAGGATTATTATGCACCATTTGGAGTCCTTCCTTTTTAATGTGAACAATTTTGGCTCCTGGTGGAAATAATTAGATAGAAAACGTTCTGGTATTTTTGGAACAATTAAAATTTTTACTCTTCTTAGTTTAAGGGAATCTTAGGTTATTATTGCTGGGGGAGCCCTTAGAAGATCAGTGCAACTCTGCCTCCCAGAGCAGGAATAGCAGCAGCCTTTTGGCACCAGGTCCGGTGCTCCTGTTCATGTCTGGCTAGAGAAGGGACATAGTACTTCAGCTGCAGGACTAGCAGATCTCAACCACAGCCACTCTAACTGTGAGAAAATAATTTTCTATTGTTTTAAGCCACCAAGTGTGTGGTCATTTTTTTTACAGCAGCCAACAGAAACTACTATACTTAGGTTCCCAATTTCTTGGTGGTCAGTGGCTATTGGCCTTATAACCAGTGCCTGGGGAATTGGTGACTAAAGACTGGAAAACAGGATAGTTAATGAAGGAGTGAGAATGAGAATTTTATTTCTATAGTGTCTTTTTTTTTTTGCCTTTTAAATTTGAACCATGTGAATTTATTACCTGTTCAGAAAATAAATAATCCTGATGGCCCTGCGAACCCAGTAGTAGGGGAACATGGTTCATTTTATTTATTCATTGCACCGAGTAACAACCTGAGCTCTTTGTGTCCCTGAGAACACAGCAACTTGTGTTCTGTGGAATGCACTGTCTCAGCATTCTTTTCAAAGTGTTGCCCCACGAGCCTACCATCCCACCTACTCCAATGTTTTCTCTCTCCATTGTACTTCTGATGGTTGGGTCTAAGCCAGTGATGGAAAAGAATTATGTGGTGAAAAATGAATGATGCTATAATAACTATAAATTTTAATTTTAGAATATAATTTGAGATTTTAAATGTAGTTTAATTAAAAATTATCTCAGAATTACCTCTCATTCTGGGTCAAGGCTTCCTAACTGGTATGCTGAGATTTAACTTCCTTAGTCTTGAGTGTGCAGGAAAGGGCCCTGGGGTTGGAGGGGTGCAGAGCCCCCAGGCTGGTGGCTTCTGTTTCAAGAATACTACCCCTTGATACCAGTACACTATGTAAATATTACTGTTTTCAACTATTATTACAGTTGTGTGTGCAGTGATACAGAAAGGTTGGTAAATACTGCCGTAGGTAAAACGTGGCCATATATTTCAGAAATGTATGTTGCATGATAATAGCTATGGAAAACAAACAAACTAGTTAGGTCCTTGGGAAAATTCTAGTGATTGTTTGGCTTCAGTGCAGGAGTCCTCAGCATTTTTTTCCCTCTGTGACATTCACAGTGAGGAAGGTCTTGACTTGGTGATGATGGCCCTGGCACCCCTGCGAAGCGCAAGAAGCTGGCTCAGCTTCAGTGTCTCCCACACAGGCCTAGAGGAAAAGAAGGCAGAGCAACATTTTAGGGAATGATCTTGAGTTCACTCTTATTTACCAAGAAACAAGTCATCAAAAACTTGGGTATGTCCACTGTCTGTAGGATCAGAGTCTTTCTGACCTCCCTCGTAACTGACATCACAGTCCAGAACCACTGTCCACACAGGGTAAGTAATATCTCATATTGTGGCCAGCTGAGTAAAAATTAATTTCAAACTACCAAATAAGAGATGGCTTTCTAAAAAAAAGTATTAGTGACAAGCAAAAAAAAAAAAAAATGGTTAATGGCACTACATGCAATATATAAAGAACCCTATCAAGTAAAGTTTTCATTCGAACTGTGATACTTGTTCTGTTGTGTCCTGGTGGGTCTGGGTCTGATGATGTTGGTCATGCAGTCTGTTCTTTATGTTTTCTGGAAAAAGTAACTGAATTAGTATGTCAGAATAGTACTATCTGAAGAAATCTAAGAGCTATTAAAATACTTAAAAATAAAAGGATCGATTCTTCTTTTGTTCTCTTGACAGGATAATTGAAGCTATCTGCATCGGTTGGTTCACTGCAGAGTGCATCGTGAGGTTCATCATCTCCAAAAACAAGTGTGAGTTTGTCAAGAGACCCCTGAACATCATTGATTTACTGGCAATCACACCGTATTACATCTCCGTGTTAATGACAGTATTTACGGGCGAGAACTCTCAACTCCAGAGGGCTGGAGTCACCTTGAGGGTGCTTAGAATGATGAGGATTTTTTGGGTGATTAAGCTCGCCCGTCACTTCATTGGTCTCCAGACACTTGGTTTGACTCTCAAACGATGTTACCGAGAGATGGTGATGTTACTTGTCTTCATTTGTGTTGCCATGGCAATCTTTAGTGCACTGTCTCAGCTTCTTGAACATGGGTTGGACCTGGAAACATCCAACAAGGACTTCGCCAGCATCCCTGCTGCCTGCTGGTGGGTGATTATCTCTATGACTACAGTTGGCTATGGAGATATGTATCCTATCACAGTGCCTGGAAGAATTCTTGGAGGAGTTTGTGTTGTCAGTGGAATTGTTCTGTTGGCATTACCCATCACTTTTATCTACCATAGCTTTGTGCAGTGTTACCATGAGCTCAAGTTTAGATCGGCTAGATATAGTAGGAGCCTCTCTGCTGAGTTCCTAAATTAATGCACTGCAGATCAATTCTTGCAAACACTTTGATAGAAAGAGTTGACTCTGCTTCATATTCATGAGTTTCTTGCTGGGTAAGCACTGCAGTGGTACTGTCATCACCGTGGTAGGGTAACAATTATCCTTCCCAGCTGAAGGGAAAGAACAATTTATTTATTATGGAGTAAACAGGATCAAGACTACAAAGGAAAATAGAGGAATAGTAGGGTCTTTTATTTAGACTTGTCTCCTCCTTGCCTTGAACAATTATACTTTTTGTGTTTGTTTTAAAGTACATTATTTTAACATTTTAAAACTAAAAGCTACTATTTTCCAAATGTTTTTCTATCTTATGAATTCAGAAGAAGCTTGGAAGTTATCATGTTGTTTTTTGTTGGAGAATAACATTTTCATTTCTAAATGTTTTATAATCTCTCCTATCAATGTCAGAAGTATCCTGGAAACATATGTCACATGCAGGAACTGTTTAACAAATACTTAAAAAATTTGGCTAAATTTTAAACTGTATAATGGAGCTAGATACAAGCAAGAATAGTATTTGAAAGACTTTTCCAGAGTATTTCTCAATTCTCGGATTTATTTTTGTTCCCATTATTTACCTTATCATACAGCTTCATGGAAGGTTGAGTACATTCTCCCCTTTCCATTTCGGAATTCTTTTCTTTCTTTACTGAAATGAATCCAGAGAGTATTTCAGAATGAGGAGAGCTTGTATTGTTTAGCATTTTATGGGAGGGAGTTCATTTTATTTGAATTCATTGCTGTTACTAAGTGATAATTGTCCTAACATTCAGCTATCCACACAAGACTGTTTCCAACATAAAAATCATAATAGAAATAATTCGATATCACAACCCATATTTACTTTCTTCTGCTCTTAATTTTTTTCCATGGGTTTAATAAGACTTACCAGATGAAAGGATATTTATATAGCCCTTTTATACCAAAGTCATACTTAGATGTTATCACTGTAAATCATAAAAAAGAAATTAAATATTTCCTTACTCTTAGTTGCTGTGTAGCTAAGCCAATTTTAAGCCAGCTAAAAGCAATGAATACATAATTATTTTATCTGATCCTCACCATTGTGAATTATAGCTACACCAAAACTTCTTATAACAATGTTAAATAACATGCCACATTAATCCGGCTAGATTATTAAGACAAGACAATGTAAAACTGATGACTGTTTAGTGCTAAATTTTAGCAATATGAACTAGAATTTTGGTTTGTTAACCAGTTCCCATAACCAATGTGTAAACACAAGAGGTTAAAAGTTATAGATCCATGGATGATTTAATGTTACAGATTATTTAGTTGGGGGGGAGGGGAGGGGGTGGAGAGGGGAATGGACCCTCGATATATTTATCAGGGAAAGGGTTACCAGAAGTGTTCATTAATGGAATATTAGCCATCATCTAGTTCAAACCTCAACTAGTACAGGAGAAAACCAGGGCAAGAGAGGATATGTTTGTGAAGGAGTTGGGGCTAAAACCTGGATCTCTAGACAGCTGGCCCAGCAGCTTATCCTTAACACACCTCTGGGTTTCGAGAAGCCATGCTTCTTTACCATTGCCATGCTGAGGTAACAATAGCAGAACCATCCCCCACCCCAGTTTTTTTTCCTGAACTTATGTGATATTTTGACCATTAAACATCTCACCCATCTTCCCAACTACTGCACACTGGTATGCTACTTACTACAGACTCAAAATAAATTCTGTTATTTATTGTATGTTTATTATATTTTAATCTGATATAAATGGCATGGATTTATTTTTGCTTACCTATTTGGATTAAGGTTTTGTGATACATGAGAATAATATGCAGATGATAGAATCCCCATATGACTAATAAAAATATAATAGGCATTCATTTTGCTGGCACCGGGAATCTTCATGGGAACATGTCTCATGTTCCCCAGTAAATTATAACTATCTTGAGAGCTGGGACCTCTCTTTTGCACACACCTTCATATCCCCACAGTGTCTATGACAGATTTGGGCACAAACGATGGACTGATTTGGTGGTGGGTGGTGGGGAGGAAGACCTCTGTGAAGAGGCAAGGAGAAGAATGCAAAGAATACATCCATATATGTTCATGTATAGTCACATGTGTGACTACACACACAGACTTTGAGGCTGCCCTTAAGTAACAAGACATCTCTTGACTAATTCATAAAGGGGCATGTTGTATAAATTCTAATGGCAGTTCAGCTGCCCATTACTGAGACAGATGATGGGACATGATAGAGTAGTTCATTCATGAATGAAAAAAAAGTATCATGGATGTTGTAAATTTTTAGGAACAGAGGTATTTTCTTATATAACTTTCCCTGAATTTTGCTGCCTTTAAAAAGTCATCTAGTAAGACTTCTCTCTAGTTGTGCTTTTAGACATTTCTCAGAACTCAGTCTTCACAGCAAACAACACTTTCATTAGGATCTGTATTAGTACCAGTAAGTCAGATCTTATCCTAACTTGGAATGTCCAGCAAGGAAAGAGGAAGCCTGAATGTTTGTTCTGATTTTACCACACCTGAGATTAACACTTGATCTTAATGTGTAACTTGCATTATATCCTCTAAAGAGGGATTTTGCAGAATTAATGATACAAATCAGAGAATATATCTGAAAGTGAACATACTCCATAACAATTCAAGGCCTTATTTATCTTTCTTTTTCTTTTATCACTCTGTTGCTAGTTTGAACAGTTGCATCTGTTTTGCTTTTGGGTTTTGCAGTTGCTTGTAAGCCCACATTTGTAACTCTTACTTTCTTAAAGATGTAGAAATATTTTTTTCACAGTAATATTTCCTGTTTTTAAACTTTTGTCCAGATGTCTTGCTTAAGTCTCGTGGTAGGAAAAGGGGAGAGATGGGGGGCTCAGCTGGACGTTGGTTCTGGCAGGATCTTCTTTGTTGGCTGGTATTTCTGAAAAGCAGCTTATTTTCCCTCTTTGCTATAGAAACAAAAAATTTAAAAAACTCAAACTCCTAACTCTGTTTTATTAGCAAGCTTATGTAACTCCAAACTTCACACATAGCTTCACGTGATATTTTCAGAGCCTTCTGACCCAACATAAATGTACATTCACTTGTGGTATGCAATATACAATCCAATCAGATATGGTGTAGATATTTCACAGGGTTATAGGAAATTAGAACCAAAGGGCCCTTGAGACCTTCTGGCCTATCTTGCCCCCTTCCATTGCCCTTTGTCCCATCCAAATGTTAGCAGCTAGGGACTGCTCCCAGTGGGTTGTGTTAGCCATTGTCACCCATGGGTACACTATTTGTCCTGATTTGCCTGGGACTTTCTTGGTTTTAGCACCGAAAGTACCCTGTCCTGGGAAATCTCTCAAGTCTCAGGGGAACAGTGGTGGTTGGTCACCTTAGTGTCAGGTCAGGCCCCAGAATCCTGATTTCTAGACTTTTGGTTCAATACATTTTGGACATACTTCTGTTTTATTTTGTAACATCAGAAAGCGTGAAGGATTTCTTTTTAAAATATCTTCTTTGGGGCTTTGGAGCTCCTTTTATGGGTCAAATAAAAAACAGATGTTGCTCTTGCTATGCTGATGAAGAGCAGTGATTGCAGTGGGGTTGGGGGTGACTTGATAATATGGGTGAATGCTGAAACCACAATGTTGCTCCTATGAAACCTTCATAAGATTGTATATCAATGATACCTTAATTAAAAAAAAAAAGCAGATGTTGCTTTTGGACACCCTAGATGCCAGGAAGGAGGGCTTCAAACCACTGTGTAGGGAACTCAGATTTTCAATAGAGTTCTTAAATTGTAGAACAGTTGTATACCTATTCATGTATATACAAGTAAGTGCAATTATTTGTTACCATGATAATAATTAAAATGATAGATATCAGTGCATTATATGGAAGGTAAAGGCTGAGAACTGTCATAGCTGAATAGGAAGGAACATTAATAGAATGTTCTGGAAAAGTTACATTTGGTCAGGGAAGGTTGCATAGACTTCTTTGTTTATTTAGCATGTTTGTAAAATGTGTTTTGCTTCCTGCCTTTCCAGACCTATCTGTGCTCAGAGGACTGCCCCTGAAAGTAAATTAGTGACTTGCTGGCTCATGTGTGGAACTTTCCAGAGACTTGTGAAATGTTATTTGCAAGTGTGACTATATTGTCCTCTTATGTGATTAATGTTTATTTTTTCTTTTATCAATTCCCCACTTATACCTAAACTTTCAGATTTTTCCAGTTCTACCAAACATCCTCAATAAGCACTTAAACTTTTGACCATTAGTGTGAGCTCTGTTGTCAGCTTATTATTTATAAGTAGGTTTGATGAGATCCTTTCATTGATTCTTAAAAATAACACTATACCAAGTGTAGTGAAAACGTAAATGACATTTAGTGGATCAAAGCTAAAGGGAATAAATACTATTTGGATTTCACCTACCAGGACTAAGTAATGCTTTGTCATTTAGATCTGAAATAGTGATCTTGCTGTATTTACACCATATTACATTACATTACAACTAAAACTAAAATTTCCCATAGTTTTGCATTAGGTAGCTTCCCCTGCCCTGCCCAGACTCAAATTATTTCCTTTGTTGTGAATAATTCTATAATTCTGTTCGGACAGAGTAGAAGCCATTCGTAGTGTGTATTGTTATAAAGTGTTCTTGTTTTTTTTTTTAAGAAAGGGAGCATAAGTAATGACAGGTGTTTTTTGCTGTATTAATATGGCACAGTTGTTCAACTTCTATATTGCTTTCTAACTTTATGTTACAAACTTGATCATGCGGCTCTGATGGAATTCCATGCCTTCCTTCTCTAAATGCAGAGGGCTGGAGAATTCCACTTCCATAATAGAAAGCAGTATTTGAGTTATAAATCCTGAACTCTGATACGAGGTGTGTGTGTGTGTGTGTGTGTGTGTGTGTGTGTGTGTGTGTGTCTGGTTATAGCTATACATATATTTATTTTGTTTTATTGGCCTAGCCATAGCCAGTCTTTCATATGAAACACTTGGAGGTTAAATGCAAAATCATGAAACCAATGTAAGGGTCAGCTTTCAGGTCCAAGAAAGGCCGTTGATTTTTGTTTGTAGGAAAGGCGTGGAAAGTTTAGATTTTTTGCTTTGAGAATGGTCTAACTTATTATCTGTATTTTTATTCAGTAATTCTTGCTGTTTGTAAGTTTTTTTAAATAAAGAATCCAAATCATAGAAGTATTCTAGTTATAAAATTAGAGTAATGGGTCATGGTCCCCTTCTTGTTAATTACTTAAGGGAAATCACCCTTTATTCCCAGTTTAAAAAGATCAGATAGAAATTGAGCCTGTGTATGTTTGTGTCTTTTTCTTAATACATTTTTAATTTATAATCTTCCTGTTCTGCAGTGCAAGGCAGAGATAGGACACTGTAGCATGCAAGAAATAATTAGGTACATCCCACTTTTTGTAATAAATAGGTTTTCAAACATTGTAAGTCGTAATTCATATACAAATAATAGATGTGTACAGGAACTCAATTAGGGAATAATTTTAACCTGCGAATCATCGTTTTGTTATTATCCCCTGATTCAATTTTTCATGAATTGAATGTCTGTAAGAATGAGATTTTTTATTTTTTTATTTTTTATTTTGGTATCATTAATCTACAGTTACATGAAGAACGTTATGTTTACTAGGCTCCCCGCTTCACCAAGTCCCCCCCACATACCCCTTCACAGTCACTGTCCATCAGCGTAGTAAGATGCTGTAAAATCACTACTTGTCTTCTCAGTGTTATAGAGCCCGCCCTATACCCCCCTACATTATACATGCTAATTGTAATGCCCCCTTTCTTTTTACCTGCCCTTATCCTTCCCTTCCCACCCATTCTCCCCAGTCCCTTTCCCTTTGGTAACTATTAGTCCTTTCGTGGGTTCTGTGATTCTGCTGCTGTATTGTTCCTTCAGTTTTTCTTTGTTCTTATACTCCACATATGAGTGAAATCATTTGGTACTTGTCTTTCTCAGCCTGGCTTATTTCACTGAGCATAATACCCTCTAGCTCCATCCATGTTGTTGCAAATGGTAGGATTTGTTTTCTTCTTATGGCTGAATGATATTCCATTGTGTATATGTACCACATCTTCTTTATCCAGAATGAGGTCTTTTTAGAAGGGCCTACCTGCATGGGATCAGAATCAGAGCAAATCATTGAAAAGCTGCTGTGTTTGGAATCAGGCTTGAGGAACTAACTTTTGACTGAATAATAAGAATTTTTATCAACTAGTGAAAAGGTGTGGGTT